TGGATTTTTTGTTTTCTTTTATAGAATGGGATGGAAGCTAAGCAATCATACGTACAACGGTACAAGATAGGTAACCTTAAAAATTGATATTATTAGGGAAATTGGAAATATATTTGTTTTCCTAGTTGCTATCATTAAAACAAACTGTTGAATAAAAATGAAAGGCATAGGGCAATATATTCCTGGTGGAGTGGTGGTGAATGATTAATGCAAAAAAACAAATAGTGTAATTAAAAAAAAAATGGCCCACTTAGAATTAAATATTGCAAAAAATAAATAATTAAAAATTTAAGAATGGCCCACTAAGAATAAAAGCCCCCTAATTATTGTGAGAATGACACGGTGTGGGACGGTTGGAGCAGAGTTTAGTTAAATGAAGAAACAAAAACGGTCGAATCATCAGTTGGCTTTTCTTGGAGGCTCAGGCACGCTGTATGCACCTCTTAAATCATATCCCATCTCTTGAGTTGTAATGTGTTCACACCAAATATTCCTTAGCTAGCTAGCATGCACAATACATACACCAAAATTACTACTATGTTATAAACAATTTAAAATATCCTGCCAGATCAGCTCCACATAAAATACCCACTACTATTGCGGTGGTTTCTCCTACGATGACGATTTTTTAAATTAGATTATAAATTAAATTGTAACAAAACAAGGAATCACGTACTCTATTTTACCATTTTATCCAAAACCATAACAAGTATTTTGAATCTTAGGCCTCGATGCCTACAATGCAAATATCACGTTATATTGTAAGGCAATTATTTCTGTTAAGTTAGCCAAACTATTAATTTGATAATTACAAAATTATAAATTTAACTCCCAGAATATATACATAAGTTTGATTGTATACACATATATATCCGTCCGAAAATTGAAGTGTATACAAATTAATAATTAACATAATGATATATATTCGGAATGGTATTTTGAAAACGGAGGCAATTCAAGTTGAGGAATAAATGAAGAAGAGGATATACAGTGGTAGGATTAGGACAAAGAGGGCCAGACAGACAAGTTGATGAAAAGAGAAGATGTGATGAGAGGTTATTTTCAGATTTAAAAAATATAAAAAAGGCCACCATGTTTCTTAGTCACCGTTCCACTGATGAATGCTAATTAAGGGGTACGGACAAAAGCAATGGTGGCCGATGGCTCCCAGACGCCCGTAAAGGACAACATCAGAGGGCCCTTAGCTTCCATATCATATCACCCAACAGATCAGATCACTCCTACTATACGTACAGCAAACACCCTAATCATATCCCTTTTCACATGTGACCTCAATATCTGCTGAGCTGCCCATTCCCGGCCAGATTTTTCCTGTGTTACTTTCCGGCGTTTCGTCCAGCTTTTCAGTTCACCGCCGGCATCCTTAGGACTCACCTCTTATCTATTACAGTTCAATTGTGAAGCAGATTAAATTTAATTTTGAAAACAGCTGCATCCATGGGTCAAAAGTTAGAGATTGATGGGAACTGAGGACGATGATCGCGTCAATAATTGTCCGTAATGAAAGCAGCAATTGCTGGACTGACTGAACTGGACCGCAGTCAATCTGCTAATCCCATCCATTTCTGTCCCCACTTTAACCTATTAATTACTACCCTCCATCACTTCAATTACCATTTTCATTTTAAAATCTCCTGTAATAATAACAATCTGGAAAAAAAGAAAGAGAAAAGTAGGTGTAGGTGTGGGTATGTTGGCTTGCCTGGTCATTGGTCAATGGCTTATAGATTGGTAATGATAATTTTATTATCAAATGGTTGGAATATGTCGTAATCAAAATGGAGGAGATGATCGATCATAGCACGTACAGTACGTACGTGGTATATTAACATTAATATATATAGGCGGTCAATTTTCTCCACTTAAAATTTAATTAAGCTCGTCAATTTCGAAAGTGCGTGCAATATAAGGTGGCCCGTGTCCGGTTTCTTTCATCATATTATATTCAATTAGATTTAATATATATTAGCAGGTCGGAAGAGTCAAGGTTGGTGAAGCACAAGGAAGACTTGAGTGTACAGTGTGGGCCGGGCCGACATGCGAGCGAAGCCCAAGGTGAAAAACGTGACACTCAAAAAGGATATCGGGCCGCCGGGAAAAGCGGAAAGTTCACACGTCAGTGAACGTCAAAAAAGTAATTCTTTACGGAGAAAAAAAGGAAGAAAAGCGGATGGATTTGTATAGAAAAAAGAGTGGAGGAGCATATCGGGGATGGGGCGGGTCACGCCAGGTAAAAAGCAGCACAACTGACATACTGGCTATGCCAAAAGCTGTGCCTGGGCCCACTCAAGATTATCTTTTTCAATTTATTGCTTTATTAAAGAAACAAAGAAAGGCAAAGACAATGGGACAAGGTTAGGTGGTTTCCGTGTACGACATGACTGTACGGCTCGCACGAAAAAACAAACACCCTCTCTTGACCCTTGACGGTTATTTTTTTTGTCTACTTTACTTTTTTTATTTATATAAGCGGGCAGGGTCGGTCCCAACTACTTATCCTACTCTTTAATCACCTCTAAACCTAACAAATACACGTAAGTATATGTTTACACACAAGATGAGTTATTTTTATTGCCAAACCATAATTTTACTTGTTAGGTACCTTAAAATTAATAAATAATTTTATTTACCTGCTTCGTCAATTTTTTTCACGCTAACAAATTAAATTAACGCATTAACTTTATATATAACCATAATATTTATGTCACATTAAATAATTGTAAATATATTACACCCAATAATTTGAATTTCAAGAAACTACAATGGCCAATGAAATATAACATGTTTTTCTTAATTTTTCTTTTTATCAAGAATCTCATAAAAATAATATTAGTAATATATTATCTATAATGCAAGACTGCAAGTTTCATTGCACCCATAACAATTGAAAAGAATATATGATTAGTCAATAGTCAGTAAAGAATATTACATTTTAAATTTGAAATTGTAAAAGATAGAAAAAGAAGCACACAAGTAACATAAATAATTTTTAATGAAGATTTCTTTTTTAAATGTAATGAAATGGAATCTTTGACTATCTAGAAAGTTCAATTTTAATGTTTGATCGGAAGTTTGGGATCATTGTCACTGCCAATTTGCAAAGCAAATAAACAAATGAAAAATGTTTATAATAGTGTAAATTAAGTGGGTGAATATGGGTCTATAATTATGCTACATCAAGGTATTAATATTGAGGGAATAAGTTATTATTATTGTTTAGTATAATAACTTGTTTGAAAAAACTATTAATAATGAACAAATTCATATTAATTTCTAGTAATAAGGTAATATAAGTCTTGTCAAATTGATGTACGTATGTGATGAACCAGTCAAATGGTGCAACTGTACTATTAGATAGCTACTGGGGTATAATTTTGCAATGTGGCATGTGATGTAGTTAAGGGAAGCACGGGTGTTTTGTTGTTCTCTCAAAATTGAGAGTTATGGCAAGTGATATGCAATCACAAACAACAAGGTACTATCATAAGAAAATCAACAAAAAGTTAAGCAAACAACATGTTTAAGGCAACAATAATTAAGCAACATAGCACAAACTCATATTAATAAGATATAAACACAAACCTTTAGGGTTGGGGATTCAACCTTTTAGGGGAAGATATAAACACAAAATAAATAAATATAACTCAACTCTCAAGATAGGAAACATTATCTAGTAGATGTTTAAACAACATGTGGGATTAGGGATACTAAATAACCAATAAATCAAGTGGAAGTCAACATAGTTCGATTTGTACGATGCAAATATTCATGACCAGAAAATCCCACTACCAAATCCGGTAGGGTTGGTATTTCAAAATGATGATATGTTATGCTTATTATTTGAGTTACAAAATACTTTTAAAAAAATAATTAAAAGTATAGGTCATGTTTATTGCATTATATGATATTGCATATAATGTTTACAAAAAACGATAAAACGTTTTGACTACTTAAAAATATTTGCTAACCTCATCACAAGTAAATCAAATAATAAAATATTATTAAAAAAAATTGTTTGTATAGTAATTATAAATACAAAGAAGAGGTGATTGTATTAGTAATAGGATAGAAAATGAAGAATTAGAAGTTAATTTTAGGAGAAGAATATTGCAAATGTATAAAAAATCTATCCATAAATTTCGAACCACGAATTTTATAATTTGACATTATAAAACTAAGCGTGTGTTTGGTTCGCACATAGGAATCATAATTGGAATGAGTATCAAATACTTGGTAATGGTAATGGGTTTTGGTGAAAGTATTTAACATGTTTGGTAATAGGGTGGAATGAGAATGGTTACTCATAGTAGTGTTTGAGAATGAATAAGGGAATAAAACCCTTATTGTATTTGGGTATTGGTTTTTCAATTGATGGGGTATTCGAAACCTATAGTAGTGTTCTAAAAACCTATAAACCAATCAACAACAATCACTTTCATACCCATTCCTATGAACAAAACCCACCAACTAAACACACCTTAAATGTTTATCTGTTACTAAAGACAACTATGAATCATTTAAAGATATCGTTTAGGCATTTATCGTAACTTGTATTTAAAAAAAAAATTATGATGCGTTATAAATCTTTGTGATATTAATTTTTTTTTTTTTGGGTAGAATCCTTGTGATGTTAATGCATCAATCACAAGTTCACATGCAAGATATATTATATATAGTTTGGCATATAAATGCTTTAATTAATTATTTAAAATACATATAAAAAAGATAAAATATAAAAATAATTGAATTAGAATATATTGTGTTTGTGATGTACTTGGCAGTTAATATTCCGTACCGTGCAGGGGTAGTAGTATAATTGTGACAAGTATGAGTAGTTTTGTGTGTATAAATACGGCTTTTACTTATTTCAGTTATCCGTACAATTAATAATAGAAAAACGAAAATTGTACCTGCCAAGTACACTTACTGTACGTCTCAACTCCTTCCTTGTATTTATATCACTTAATCCCACGCAACTTCTCCCTCCCTCCATCCCTCCGCTCTCCTCCTTCTTTCTACCTTTACCGTCTTTCTCTCTCTTCTTATCAGAATTTCCCAGCGATGAAGAAGTTGATTCGGCGGCTATCGCGCGTTGGGGACTCGTCGCAGTACAGTTTGCTCCGGTCGGAATCGCGGACGCCGTCTCGTTCTCGGAGATTCGAGTCTTTCCGGACAATAAAGCTGAGATCCGGATCGGTTGGAGTGCCGGAGGGGCACCTTCCGGTGTACGTTGGCGAGGAAATGGAGAGGTTTGTGGTGAGCGCGGAGCTTCTCAACCACCCCGTCTTCATCCACCTCCTCAATAAATCGGCGCAGGAATACGGTTACAAACAAGAGGGCGTGCTCCGCATCCCTTGCCACGTTCTCGTCTTCGAACGTGTCCTCGAAGCCCTCCGCACCGGATGCCAATCTTGCGATCTTTTAGATTCCCTCTCCGACGAGTTCCTGTAGTAATTCTTTTTTTTTTTTTTCTTTTGGTTGGTAAATTTCGCTGTTGAACAGTGAGATCGAATAGCGGGTCGGGTAGGTATTGAGAGTGGAGATCGCGTTGTCGTTAATTTTCGTCAGTCTGTTGCTATGTAAATATGGTACATGATGAATCACAGAAGTGAAACAGGGGATCTTTCATACTCTCTGTTTAGTGAGTATAGTATATATTTATGCAGTCCAATTCTTTCTTCTAGCTTCTTCTTCTTCTTCTCCGTGTGATACAATAATTCACAGTCCTGTAGTCAAAGCTCAGAAAATTTGGGAAATATTATTCAACTTCCATACATTTGAAAACTTAATTGTATAATCAAACCAACGTTGTCTCTGTAATTGTTCAAATTGCGTTTTGTCGGATCAAAGAATATTTGTTGTAAAACAAGCTAGCTGGGATTTTTATGTTTGATGTGGTAGCCAGTAATTGGCAGCCAACAAAAAAAAGTGGATTCTCGATCTAGTATGACAACACCCTCTACCTATATATCATTAACTCGATTGTTTCTTTCATAGTATTTTCGATCTCGTTTAGTGGATTGTGGAAGGGTAGAAAAGTAAATCATTGTTCCCCCTCAATGCTCATCTAAACCAACATTGACATGTTTGGTCGCTCTTGATGTTCTTCCAACTAATACCATTAGGTAAGTCTTCAATTCGGTGAGTACTTTGACCTTATTTTTCAAGCCATATATTTGGGTGATTAGAAAACCATAACCACTACATAAGTGTGTGGATCGGATCGAACAAACCCAATTCCTATGTCATAACCTGCAAATCACATATAAACTTTGTTTTCATTAACATATGTTAAGCATGGAGTGGTTTGTAAGGAATATATAATGATGCAAATGTCAAAGGCGGTTGGAAAAATAGCATTAAAATGGCATTTTAAGTGGCTATTTTGTGGTATAATTATCAGTGGGGTCCTTTTCGATTTGGGTCAGGTCAAAGTGGATTCGGGTTCTTCATAGTGAGACGAATAGATTGATATATTGTACGCTCAAAACGGATAATGGGTGAATGAGATATTGATTCTCAAAGTAGACCCATTTGAGTTGGAAAATGAAGGGAAAAAATGAGTTTTTGTCCCACATTGGTTTGGAAAGAGGATTTGCCCCCTTTTTATACAAGAGTTCTTTTGGATCTTGTAGAATTGCATAGCATAGAGGTTCTCTCGCACGTGGGGGGTGCAAATCAAATTCCAACTACAAACGAGATTGGTTCAAATTTCTTCTGCTTCTACTCCTTTTTAAGCCTAACTGTGTTCAAGAATTTGCTCTAGTTCGCTAGGTTCGTTTGGGTGCTACGTTTTATCCTGAGAACCTAGGCCATAGCGCTCCTAGCACTTTTGGGAGGTGGCAAATAAGGTGCCTAACTGTGTTCAAGGCTTTGCTCTAGTTCGCCAGGTTCGTTTGGGTGCTACGTTTTATACTGGGAACCTAGGCCACAGCGCTCCTAGCACTTTTGGGAGGTGGCAAATAAGGTTTAAGGCTTTGCTCTAGTTCGCCAGGTTCATTCGTTTGGGTGCTCAAACGTCAAACCGTAGCACGTTTTATCCTGGAAAACCTAGGTCACAGCGCTCCTAGCACTTTTGGGAGGTGGCAAATAAGGTCTTAAAGAAAGAGTGGTCTCTTGACTCGCGCTAAAAACCCTATACCCATACACGAGCCATCTTTTCATTCTTTCGGTTTGGATTATGCTTCTAAGCAAAAATCCTCAATCTTTTTGATATAGTTTGGTTGGAATTATAATCTGTAGATTATAAGTTCCATTTGGTTGATATGTATATATATTTTCCGTAGATATTCATGCATATAACCATGGTGGTCTGATTTATATATATATATATATATATATATATATATATATATATATCCGAATAATAGTTTATATACTTTCGTTTGTGTATATATAAATATTATTTTACGATATTAAATCGATTTTTGTTCATTATCACCAACAAAGGCTACAATTACACTTTTGGCAGGTAATAAACTAGAATAAAGCAGTGAAGGTTGTTGAATGTCAGCGATATTCTTAACCCAATTCTCATTTCAGGAACGAAATAGAAATTCAGGTACTTAATAATTGACAATTACATAATTACAAATTATATTTAATTTTCATGAACTCATCAATTGTTAGCTAGTAGAGCATATATATGTATTTATCTTCCAAGCAACACCACAAATATAGAAAGAAACAAACGTAATCTGCACCCACAATCATCTTTTAATTTGTAGCTCATATATCAGAAAGCTCTCTTAAAATTCTGTTAAGAATAACAATTACCATCATCTTTATTTTGAGTGCAATCAAACACATTCCTATAAATATATATACATAATTGGATAAAAACTAGTGTTTTGTATCCATTTTGCACCGGTTTATTATTCTAACAAACTCACTAACAACTTGGTCCACAAGACCTAGCAATAATGTTCACTAATGAGGCCCCCTGCTACTATTTTAACATACTTAGTCATTCACCGGTTGTTGGATTAATAAGGATCTAGATCGAAATGTTTGGACTAGATCGCAACAACTTATTTAAACTAGTCTAAATATTTATTAAAGTCAAATATGAATTGAATTACTTGTTATTGTCGAAATCAATAATGAGATTGAAAGAGAAGCACATAATAAAAATGGTATGAAAGCTAAGGGGTGCACGGAACAAGGTAACAGTGTGCATGAATGATGAAAATAGAACGCAAGTGCAAGGCATTTTGGGTTTGAAGGGTGGTTAGTTCATGATTCGTGCATGGTATGCAGTTAAATCCTCCGATCCGTAAAATACGTTGAACACTCGATGCGATCGACGGTTCTTGCGACTTGTGATAGATGGGTTCTTCATAATACACAAATATATATATATATATATATATATATATATATATATATATATATATATATATATATTTAACAACGTAAGACGACATTTGCGTCCTTGTGCACGAAAATATGCTGTTGACAGCTTCATTTCGTGTACGGACTCCAAAAAATAATAAAGAAAGACAAAAAAAGCATGAAGGTCCAGTTAGTCCAAAACGCCTTGATTAGCGCAGCAACTCACATGCTTGCTTGCTTTGTTACAACAAATTTATTTAATTCTTTTTTTTTTTTTTATCATTTCAATGATGGGACATCCTACCGTATGTATTATAATTTTTCTTGTAAATTTCTAGAATTTTCTGAGAAATGAAAACACCAACACACTTATTCTATGTGCTGGTCTGAATAATTAATAATGATTAACCAGGTTCTTGGACAACTTTAAAAGGTCATGTGACTCGCCAGTGGGAAATATCATTCATGTATGACTACTCACCTGGTTTCATTTTCTCATTTTTTTATGATTAATTTGGGATCAAATCAAATAATATAATATATGAATTCAAACTTTATGTTTTTTTCTTTCTTGTTAATTTTGAGTTTTCAAGCAGCCCATTTCCGTTGCTTGCAACTTGGAAAGGCCCAACTTCCAAATTAATCATAATATCTAACTATGTGGTCCAATACATGGAGTTCAATTTGTACAATATTTCAGCCCAATTATTTCAGACCATTTATGTTGGTTGCACGCTTACGGCAAATTATTGTATGGACCATGGTCCACACAATGTTATGTGGACTATAACAAAAAGTACATTTTTAATGTACTAAATGTACATTATTTTTGTACTGAATACTGTACATTATACAATATAATGTACACTCAGAACAAAAATAATGTACATCCCCTGTATACAATGTACATTATCTTTGTACTAAATGTACATTACTTTTGTACTGAATGTACATTATTTTACAGAAGACAAAATATGGTCCACACAACTTGTGTGAACCATGGTCCACACAATAATGATTGCACACTTACGCTCTAGGCGATACTTGCCAAGATTGTTAATAATTAAACGGATCAAATCAAGAAAGTTAATATTTGTTTAATCAATTTATTTGGTATTTCATATTTAATTACAAGAAAATCCACAATTTTTATCCAAATATATACTCGGATTGAAGCTTGCCTTATAACTTTAGCCGACAAAGAATTACGATATAAATCAAATTAAGTTACACATAGCTGATCAATTACTCCCTTCAAAGGTGTGCTCTATGCGAATGCTGTTTAGGTTGTTACTTTATCTTTTATCATGTATTAATGTGGCTAACATTGATTTGATATTTTGGTTCAATCTATGTAATAACTCCTTCAACATATAGTGTAACACGCCATTTGCAAGCAATCAATGCATCTAACCAACGTTTACCTGCGTAGAGAAAGAAAGAAAACGAAGGCTCTTAATAATCAATATTATTAGGTTTGCATTCACTAGCTCGAACTGCCAAATTCGGATTACCATAATCAAATTAAATGCAATTCAAATTTAGGGAGTGTTTGGTTAATATCTTTTAGCTGATTGTGTTAGTGAGTTTGACAAGTTGATAATATTACCTAATTGTAAAAAAGTGTTAGGTAAATTATTTGTTAGCTAATAAATGATTACATGTAAAATGACTTTCTCAAAAAGTTGTATCAAAAAAAGTTATTTTGAGCAACTTTTTGAATTTTAGCATTTTGGAACAATAAGCTGTTAAAAAAACAAATTAATCAAACACTTATATTGGGGGTGTTTGGTAAATAACTGTTGGCTGATAGCTGTTAGCTAATTGGATTAGTGAATTTGATTAGTTGATAGTATTGACTGATTGTAGAAAAATGTTTTGTATATTAGCTATTAGGTGATAGCTGATTATATGCAAAATGACTTTTTCAAAAAGCTAATTGAAAAAAATTACTTTGGATAACTTTTTGAATTTTAGCCTTTTAGAGCAATAAGCTGTTACAAAATATAATTAATCAAACACTTAAATTAATTGTTTAACTAACTCAATTTTAGTTATCAAACAAGTCAAAATTGACTAATATGCTAACTATTTCACCAAATATGGTTATTGATTCTTTAACTAAGTCAAACACCTAATAGTGATCAAATAACTCAAATTATCTAATAAGTTAACTATGTTACCAAACATGACCTTAATGTTTTCAAATATATATCACTCCATAAACGTAATACGTTACATTACATATTTTATGAGTCAATACCTATATGTTTTATTGTTATAATACTATTTAAACTGTTTAATTTACGCGTAATATATAGTTATTGTCATTTGTCAGGATTGACTTAT